TCAGGAGAGGGGGTGCCCCTGCCAGTGCTCGCGTTTCAGGGTCGTTAGGGGAACGTGAGCCAGCGCAAGCAGCAGGCCCGGCACCCCGGGGACTTCCGGGCAAGGTCACCAGGGCTGTGTCTGGAGTCGCTTGCCCGCCCCCCCCCAGCCCGAGACTGCGGCGCCGTTGGCTTTCGGCATAGACAGCCTCCAAGCACAGCTGGCCCCGTGGAGGCTGTCTGCTCAGTTTCCAGCTGAGGCCAAGCTGGCTGTGGGTTCTGATCGGGGCTGGGCTGCTTTGCTCCCGCGGTTCGGGGCGGGGAGGGGGGAGGTTGGGAGAGATCTCCTCACCAGACCCCAGACCCCGCCTCCAGCCACCCCAGCCGGTCCCCAGCCAACCATGAGCAGGAGGAATGAGGCCCCCTGAAAAGAAAAAAGTGTCTCTGAGGCCTGGCCTTTTTGGGTTTCATTCCCATTAAAACAGGAACAGGTTTGCAAAGCCAACAAAAAGCCCTGGCCTGTCAGACAGCAGCCATCAGATTACGGAGGATTTATGGTGTGTGCGACTTGCAGGGTGGGGCCGGGCTCTGGCTGCAAGATAACATCAGGCACACCCCACAGTGGCCGCAGGCAGGCCCCCCAAACCGGGTGGGACGGGCAAGCCAGCAGAAAGCCACGGTGCCGGGAGGTTCCCTCCAGAGCCTGCCTGTGGGACGCCAGCGTGTGCGAGAGCCAGGGCAGGAGCGGGGGTGGAGGGGTGGTGGTGGGCGGGCGGAGCACGGGCGTCTTACCGCGTTCCTCAGCCCCTTCAGGTCTGGGGTCTTCAACATGAGGGCATCGAACACCTCCTCCGTCTCCCTCCGCACGTACAGCAGGACTGAAAGGCACAGGGGGTTTTAGAGTGCAGGGAGGGCCAGGAGCCAGGGATGGGGAGTCCTGATGGACACTGGCGTAAGACTGATGTCTGCAGAGGCCATTTTTCTGCCTGGCACTCTGGGGGTGACCACACTGATGTAGGTGGGTGTGAATCCCTGTTCTGCTGCCTGCTGGCCAGGTGACCTTGAAAAAGTGACTTTAGGGTCACTGAGCCTCATCTCGCTCCTGGGTAAAGTGGGAGCCCTGCCCCTACTCACAGAGTTGTGGGAATTACTGATATATGACAGGGAGGGGAGCTCAATGCCAGGGCTGCTGGGAGTGGCTTGGGGTGGGGGAGGTTCCAGCTGCTGGCTGGCTTCCACAGAGTAGCAGTGGTGGGCTTGTGGCCCTCCCAGGGAGGCACAGACTGAGCGCGTCCAAGCCAGAGGGGCAGACTGGAAACCCTGTCCTGCGCACCCCACAGAGCGCGGACCCTCCAGCTGAATGGGCCTGCAGCCAGTCCTGCCCCAGGGCGCCCGCCCACACAGGGACCAGGAGCAGGCCCTTGGCACCACCGCTGTCTCTCCCAGCACCTGAGGCACCCCAAGTCTGGGCCCAAACCCAGCTCCAAGGGGTGAAGCAGTCCCTCCCTCTGGGGGGTGGGGCCCCTCATGGGTGGGTCTGGGAGGGCTCCAAGAGCAGATGGAGGAAGATCGGTTACCTCTTTGGAGGTCATCTTCCTTGGCTTGCTTGGAGGGCAGGGGCTCGAACTCTTCAGCGAAGGGTGAGCCGGTGCGCTTCAAGGGCAGCCTATGGGGCAGGGAAGCTGGTAAGGGACCCAGGGGCAGCCCAGAGTCTGAAGGACCCTGCTGGTCCTCCAGGGCCCTAGAGATGGGGAAGGCCACCTGAGGGCGGACGCAAAGCAGTGGGACAGTGGGTAGAGAAGCAGGTCTGGGTCGGACATGGGTCTGACTCCCACCGGTCGCACACTAGCCGTGTGACCTGGATGACTTCCCGGGTCTCGGAAAGCAGGGCAGCGACAGAATAGTAACAGCAGCATTTCAAGCACAGCCTGAGGCCGAGCTGGTCACGCGCTGCTCCTGCTGCAGGACGGGACGCAGCAGGGCTGTCCTCGACATCGACGCTGGCCTTTCCTGAACCACTCAGGATGGGCAGAAGGCGGTGGGAGGGCGGGTTTGGCAGTAAGGCAGACTTGGAGCCTAGTTCCCTGCTGCCACCTCACAGCCATGGGGCTCAAAGTCCCCTCATTTCTCTGAGCCTCAGCGTCCCTGTCCCCTGCCTGCCCCACTCGCCGGGGCTGCTGGGAGGTGGAAAGTGCACCTTGTTTATCGGGGAGCAGCTGGGACAGGCCGCTGACCCTCGCAGAGTGGTCCCCAGTTATGGATGGCGTACACGCCATGCTCTCCGACTGCCTGCCCCCACGAGGCTGCTGTCCCCGGGGGCAGATCTGTGGGCAGAGGAGGGGGTCGCAAAAGGTCCAGGAGGGCGCGATGGCTGTGGCTGACGGAGGGAAGGATCG